ACCGCACTCTTCAGTTTGTAATACTATTCATTAACAGTGGCATCATTTTGAATTTAGAATTTGTGAGCACATGGGGAAATTTCAATTGAATAGATGTTTCTTATTGTGCATTGGTATTTTCAGACAGATAAAAAGATTCCTTTTTGACAATTCTTACTTCTAAATTAAGGAGGTCCCAAAGTTCAAAAAGGCTTCTTATAATCAAGTGGAATGAAAAAATCAGATGTAATTATTGCAAAAATAACTCTCATTGTCTTCTTAAGAGAAAACCATGGTGCAACATGAATGAATTCAATAGAACTAGATGTTCATAATAATTCAGATTTTCTATTAAGCTCGATTGTTATTAGTTTTACACTTAAGCGAGCCTATTTAAGAGATCAATTTGCGTCAAAAACATTTTTAAGACGCGAAAAAACAAATGATATTTTTTCACCGTTATTATAACAAACAGTACCCCAGATGCAACTGTGGTTAGCGCATCCCCACCATGCCTCAACCTAATTTGAATTTCAATTTTAATTCCATTTCGGGACTTTTACGTAAAACCACAAACTTCTACTGTATTACAGACGCGAAGTCTAGTAAGCTGTATTAATGTTATATGCCAACCACAGTGTGGTTAAGACAAATGCTAACTTTTACAAGCCTTTTTTCAGTTTCTACTTTTTCTTTGTTCTAAACATGAAATTAGAAATATGAAGAGATACAAAATTCTAATCTTGTCAAGTAATTTAATTTTCTCTTATATTCTAGAAAAATATTATGTTTAAACAGGGTGAATTGATTTTCTTTTGTTGTTATATAATGAGTTTCTACTAGTGTTGGATATTGAACTCAGTGATATTTTGCTTTACTATCACTTAGTGTCTTAATATATTTATGAACATAATGTTAAGATGGTATAAATGATTTAAGAAGTTCAGTAATGAGCTTGGTATTTCCAAAAAGGTGTTCATGAGAGAGAAGTGCTCATTAGAGAGAAGTGTTCTTAAGGGAGTAGTGTTCACCAAAAAGATACAATCTCTAGAGAGAAGTGTTAAGGTGATACATTGGATATCAAAATCAGCAAGGTGTAAAGGACAGGGCCATCTATAACTAGCATATGTATAGATAATTAATAATCCTAAAAAATGTGAAAATAAAGCTTCAAATTTAGATGGCTCACATTTGGATTTTCTACAGGGTCATTATTATGTATCAGAATTCATTATATGTTCAAAATGATAATAAGTTTTAACTTTCTTATCTTTTATACATTAATTTGGATTGATATTATCAATTTTGAGAAATGGCTATTGTTTTATGAAACAAATTGTAATGGGAAGGTCCATTGTGATATTAAAAATACATTGAGTTTAAGAGTTATGGAAATAGACAGGAAAATGCATAATGTATCACTCGAAATATGTATAGAAGGTATACTACAAATAGTAATAGGTATAAAATGCAAAACCAAACCGGATACGAGAGACAATGTATAGTAACCTAAATACCACCCCCTGTTGCATATTTATACTTCAACCTTTTAGTAAATGTGTTTTTCTCTGTGAATTCACATTATGGACAGCTGATGGTACAAATACAAATGTTACAAATAAACTTTGGTTAAACCTATGTCAATAAACACTGGTTTAGGTAAATGTGATTAATGCCATTGTGAGTTGACCTCACTATCAAGTAGAATATACCATTTAGTAAATAAACAGATAATTTGCAATGCTAATATACTGTATAAAGTAGATAGAATCAATAAGTCAAACAAATGAGGATGTATTCCATCAAAGTCATAAGCCTCATATTCTCATTAATGCTTTATTAGCATCGTATTCTCACAGATACTGTATTGGCCTCATAGTATCACCAAGGCTACATGAGCCTCATATTATCACTAAGGCTATTAGCTAGCCTTGTATTTTTTATGGAGGCTACATAAGCCTCATATTCTAATGAGCCTCATATTATCCCAAAGGCTGTCATAGTATATTAGCCCTATATTCTCCCTAAGGCTACATTACCCTCATGTACTCATGGAGCATATATTAGCATATTCTCATTAATGCTCTCTTTGCCTCATATTCTCAATAAGGCTAAATTTGCCTCATATTCTCAGTCAGTATCACTATATGTGTCTTGGAGCATGATGTACATTTACCATGTTTTATTTCGAAAATAAGTTTTATTTTGGAATATTTATGGGTCATGTCATTCCTTAACATATCTATTGTCTAAAAAGCCCCCCCCCCCTGAGTTTATACTTTATTTCAGGAAAATCAGAATGCTTGAGATTTTTATGTGTTCATTTTTCTATAATGTAATATAAGATGGGAGGTCAGTTGTAAAATTTGCTTGGTATTTTGACCTATATCTCTGATTTGGCAAAGAACTTGAACTTTGTCTTGAGTGAAAGAACAAACACACATATAAACAACTAAACTACTACAGGGTGTCAAATAAGTCCCATCCCTCTGCTACAGCTAAAACCTTGAAGAATGGTACCTAGTGTGAAATATACCATTAAAAAGACCAGACTCTGTCCATGTTACAGTTATGGAAAACAAAGTCAACTTTTCCTTCTCTCTTATAATGAAAATCTAAAATGTTGATTTACAGGGGTACTTACTTTTCCAGGGCCATTAATTAGTATATAAACATTGTCATATTTGTCATTTGCCCCTTTCCCTCATGTTCTGCATGTATTGACATTGAAACACCATCGTAACAAGAGACAGGGTGAAAAGTATCATACCACCACCAGCAATGTTGACAATACAATCACTTTTAGATAGATTTGGTTAGTTGTACTACATGACAACCTGCAGAAGATGAACAGAGGAACAACAACAGACAACATTAACATTTCAGCACCAGCTGTGGCCCCCTCATCTTCCCTTATAATTACTATAATGTTTTGGTGCATCATTTCATTGATATGCAAACCTATACATGGCGATTGAAAGTCTACACATGATTCACTTATAGATATCTGTGATCTCCCCATCTATGGAGCACCCACTTGAAAACCAATTCTCAGTCTGCTTGAGAATGACCAAAATCATGAGAGATTGCCATGTTTTGACCAATTTGGGTTAGATTGTCAGACTGGGTGAAAATCAGCATATTTTGACCAATTTTGGGTTAGAATTGTGAAAATGTGAATTTGGCATTTTAACCTGGTTCAGAATGAGAAAATCAGCATATTTTGACCAATTTTGGGTTAGAATTGTGAAAATGTGAATTTGGCATCCGGTTGAATGAAACAATATTTGGAAGAACACTGCAAGTGTATCTATGATAGAATGTGATTTTAGATAAATAAAATACAACCTGTTCTTTAAATGGTGAATATTTTTTGTTTGTATGGTACTCAAAATAATGCAATATTGAGTGGTGATACCACTATACTATTCTGATAAATGTGCAAGTTCCTCTACCATGTTAAGATAAGCATCTCCAAGTTTTTAAAAAAAACATAAATTCACATTGGCTTTCTGGTTTTACCATTCACTATGGGCTTTCAAAAAGCCCATGCATTCACTTATGATTGCAGCATCTTTCATATTGCATCAACTTTTCCTAGCACTCATCTTGAAAACCGAATTGTGAATTACCCTGTTATATTATGTTGACTATTATTACATGGATTGTTTAACATAACCACATTGTGGCCAATTTGGTCTGTGACCTCCAGTCCTTTCCAGCAAGTAAACCAATTTTCTCCACCTCATTGTTATACTCGACCACAATTGGGTGATCTTGAAAAATACCCCTGTAATGTATACATTGTCTAGAACCATGGAGACTTGAATCAATAAAAATACACCTTCGATTTCTTTTTAGAATTATGCAGGATTCTTTGATTTCAAATGAAAATTGATTCATAGTTAAACAATAAGAATGAGATGTTATGATGATTGTGGAGTTTGTGTAAAGGTGGGATTACCACATTGTAGTGTCTGGCTGTAGAGTTCTTCACCCACTTCACCCAATCTTAACCTTTCACCCCATTTATGCTTATTCCCCTCCCCCTTCTCTTAATATCCAATCCAGTGTTAAGTTTTCTGCTTTCCCCGCCGATGTAATGTGCGTATTTCATGCTTTTATGCTTATTCTCAGTCTTTTCCACTTAAATATTAGTCTCAAACTGCGACCATTGTGGTATTTTATTATTTGGCACTTACAACATTTTTCCAGGTAAATCAACGTCTTTAATTATTTATTTGTGGTAATTTTCAACACCAATTGAGAGGTGATTCTGGTCAATTATTACCACATAGAATATTGCATACAATCTTGTCATTTCGGTTACTACCACCTCATTGGTTTTTTACTTTGAGTTGAAAATGTGGTTATTTTGGTCAATTGTTCCCACAATAATTGGAGTGCATTTGTAGTTTGGTTATTTAGGTTGATTTTAACCAAATATTTTGGTATATATATTTCCTATGTTATAATCTCATTGAATTTCTGGTTGCAGCCGCCACACGTTGACCTTAAAGTGCTGATGTTTGAATCCTGGGCTTTTTGCTACCACATTTTTGATTCAGATTCCTTCACACACACCTGTACTTGTTGAATATATGTGTTTATTGTGTTATGTCATATCGCTAAGGTGTCGCTATGAAAAATTCTTTGAATACATTTCCAGGACAGTCCAGCTTATCTTGAGGAAACAGTCCGTAATCAGATTTTTTCAGGACAATGTAGCAGCAACCCCTAATATATATCTTATTTATATATATTTCCAGGACAGTTTAGCCCACCTTAAGGTGAAAACCCCTAATATATATCTTATTTATATATATTTCCAGGACAGTGTAGCCCACCTTAAGGTGAAAACCCCTAATATATATCTTATTTATATATATTTCCAGGACAGTGTAGCCCACCTCAAGGTGAAAACCCCTAATATATATCTTATTTATATATATTTCCAGGACAGTGTAGCCCACCTTAAGGTGAAAACCCCTAATATATATCTTATTTATATATATTTCCAGGACAGTGTAGCCCACCTTAAGGCCTGGACTGAGATGATATGTACCATACTACAACTGCTTTACCAGTTGCCTGAGCACCAGTACCAAGCTCTCTTGCCAGCCATCTTCAACTCTATCACACAGTTAGTGTGCCAGGCAGAGGACACAAGACTCAAGGAAATGCTTGCTCATTGGGTACACAAAGTTGGGCATTTATACCAGTTTGCCCCTCATTCCTAAGACTGATTGGTGCACATTTATATCCGTTTACTGCATATATCTGAGGCTAATTGGGCACATTGTATACTCCTGAGACCCATTGGACATAGTACCAATTTGCTGTATACTCCAGAGCCTCATCAGATTTGCATACAAATTTGCCTCTCATTCCTAAGACCACTGGATATTAGAATCAGATTGCCTCACATTCCTAAGGCGTTGTACACAAAGTTGGGACACATACAGGCCCGTAGCCAGGATTTGCCAAGGGGGGGTTCAATTTTCAAAAATTTCCAGGGGGGGGTTCACATTTGACAATTTTGGCCCAAATATGGCTAAAATCACTTGAGAAGTGCTCAAAATGGTGAAAAACTGCATGATTTTGAAAGAATTTTTGGCCAGGGGGGGGTTCGTCCGAACCCTGCGAACCCCCCTGGCTACGGGCCTGACATAGCTATAACGATATGAGGGAATCATAAGCAACCAAATTTGACATTTTACAGTATTTTCAGTTCTTAGAACCAACAGCAGGTTGATAATCAATGCCTAAATATAAATATTATTTGACTAGGGTCATTGAAACTTTTAAAATGGTGCAATGGCTTAAGGTACTCGCATTTATAGATCCAAGAAAGCATTCCATATATACTACGTTTAGTGTAGTGTAGTGTAGTGTAGTTCTAGTCAAAATTATTATACTACAGTCATACTTGCAATGAGAGTCTTAAAAATGTTTGACGCAAGCTAATATATATACATGTATAGTCATATACACATCAAATATTATTATATACATTGTATATTGCAGTCCATACTTTATGTATACTCCATAATCGTGAAAATCCATTTTTCTATTTACCAAAACATCTACTCAATTTTATGGAATAAAAGTTATAAAATGCTCCTAATAACACTGACAACAAAACTGGACCTACAGGTTAAGGTCTGTTTTTCTGTGGGGAGGGGGGGAAATCCTATTGTTATAGGGTAAACCATTAAAATGCGTCGCTAGTCCTCCTACATGTTCATCTGAATAAGAAGAATGATTATGATTTCTGTTGTTTTGCATTAAAAATTCTGAGATAGCCATATGCTCCAAAAAGCGCCAAAATACATATAATCATAAAGCATTATATTTATTTATTATATTAAGAGATGTGTACATTGAAACTTGTATGTAAAGTCAGAATATAGTCCCTCGATATATATGAAATGGAAAATATTTTATTATTAATAGCATCCATATTCCCATTCTGATACTCATCATTATGTCACCACCAGAAATGGTGACATATTGTTATAGTCTCCAACTATTTTGTGGCTGGTGTTCGATGGTTGGTGTTTGGTGGTCTGTGTGTGTAACAGCATTTGATGTCTGTAACAAATGGCAGGTGGTGACATTTTGCATGTTAATACCTTGTATTTTTTGTTTTGCTTCTGAGAAGAAAGATATTGTTATAACAATGCTGTTTTGCTGATGTTCATTTTACAGGCTTTTCGCAAATGAAGCCTATTGACTGAGTGCAATAGATAAAGTTTAATATGTACAGTACATGTACAATATTATTGTTAATGTGAAAAATTATTGTATACAATATTATTGTTCATGTGTAAAATTATTGCATACAATATTATTGTTCATATGTAAAATTATTGTATACAATATTATTGTTCATATGTAAAATTATTGTATACAATAGTATTGTTCATGTGTAAAATTATTGCATACAATATTATTGTTCATATGTAAAATTATTGTATACAATATTATTGTTAATATTTAAAATTATTGTATACAATATTATTGTTAATATGTAAAAATTATTGTATCCAATATTATTGTTAATAGGTAAAATTAATGTAGACAATATTATTTTAATATGCCAATAACATGATAAGCATTCTATATCGTATGTTTTGCACCATTTTCAAGATAATGATGCATTTTTGGTCGTATATTTTTGATCACTTGGAAAAAAGCACAGCCTACAACTAAATCAATCGAGACCTAACAATAAATACATAATGCAAAATACAATATAAAGATTGTATATTTTGATTTTATGTAGTGACAGCGTCATTACAATGTGGACATATACATGTCTAATATTTAGGGAAATAATTAACGCTTATTTAAAAACCTAATTCAGTAAAAGAAGATTAACTTCTTGACTTCCATATTAAAATATGTTTCAAACCAGAGTATTTTTTTCAATTTATGTCAGTTTTTGGGCATTTTAAAATGTTCAATTTGGTGAATTGAGTAAACATATTGGATTCAAATTGTTCAAAGTTCAAAGGCAAATTTCATGAAAAATTCTTTGACAGATCAGCTTGTCTTCGTTTGTGACAAGAAATACGGTCACACATGGAATCAAGATTTTAACATGTTAACGTTGATCCCAATGAGCTACTCAGTAAAATTTGATTCTTAGGAAAGAAAGGGGTTAAGTTAAATTCATAGTAAGGTGTGTTTTGATGTGTGATGCAACATATAAGAACGCCTGTTGGATACTATTGCTAGAATTCATTTTCAATAGCAAGAACATGGGTTCTTAAACAGGACATTAAAGCTTAACTAAGGCCTTTTTGAAATTTTTTTTGGTTAGCAAAAAGGATAAAAACATCGCAAATAACAAATGATATAAAATTCCTAATATATAAATGTGATAGTTGTAAGAACTGTTGATAAATATAATCATAAAGTACTTAATACAGAATATATTGCAGATACATAAAAAAAAATTATTAGGAGATAGGGGTTCATGGGAGAAAATAGAGACCTCTCCTTAAGGATATTAATGGAAATATGTTGATGAGGCTATAGTAGACCTCATGGACATAGCGCCTATTACGCAAAGTACGCACAGGCGTAGCAAGTGAATTTGAAAAAATTAAAAATGCGTTAAAATGCATTTATTTATTTGCGAATTTATTGATGCTTCGTATCTATATGTTTACCATTGTCAACATTTAAAGCTGATAAAAACGCTTAAATTCCATCAGATAACGTCCTTGAAAAAAAATTTCGCAGGGGAGCATACCCCGTACCCCCCGCGATGCGCGGCCTTCGGCGACGCAATCAGGCATCCCAGAGTGTGCATACTAACTCAAAATATAGCCCTACGCCCATGGATTTCATGATAGCGTTATGGCCTCACAGGCACCCAGGCTGCAAATATTCTAGCTAGTCTAAGAATCATATAGTCAGTTAGGTAACATTTGAGATATAAGTACATAATAATCTATTACATGTATATCTATCTATATACAGGGTGGGCCAAAAAATTTTGCAACTTTTTTAAAAGGCTTGAAAAGGATCATAACATTAAGGTATCGACATAAAAATTCATATTCAGAAACTTTAGGATAGGCATATTTTACCATTCAAAAATTTAAGCTAATACTGACTTCAAATTTTTTTAACAGATCTTTGAATATCAGTGGTAAATTGTTCATGTGTCCAAGATTTACCATTTTTCATAGAAAATGTGAATTTCTATGATTTTGTGTGATTAACAATAACACATCCATTATGTTCTCTAAATCTGCTACAATCTTTTAATTGTTTAACCAATGGCTAGTACAGTTTTATAAGTATCTACTATGGTATCATTTTATACTGAATCTATTAATTATTTATGTAAAAAATGTTCCATGCATCCGCCTTTAACCTTCACTATCACACAGACACAAGGGCGTAACTGCAATGGCGCCATCCAGCAATTCTTGTGGTACTTCTTTCCACTTCTCCTAACCTCTTTTAGTTGATCAATAGTGTGTGGGGATTACCATTAACTGCAATAAACTGCTCCAGGTGCCTCCATGTGTGATAGTCACAGGGGTTGGCATTAGGTGTATTAGGCAGCCATTTATAAGGACCAATAAATCTAGAGGTATCATCCTCCAGGTATTCCAAAGTGACCCTTGCCCAATGGCTGGGAGTGATAGTGAAGGTGAAAGGTGGATGTAAGAACATGTGATAAATAAATAATTAATAGATACAGTATAACATAATACAATTGTGAGTAGATACCGATATAAAAATGTCCTAGTATATTGAATAAACAGTTATCAGAGATCGTAGCAGATTTAGTGAACATAATGGATGTGTTATTGTTGATCACATAAAATCACAAAAAGTCACATTTTCTTGGAAAAACAGTAAATCTCGGACACATGAACAATTTACCATCGATATTCAACGATCTGACAAAAAAATTAGAAGTCAGTATTATCTTAGATATTTGAATCGTAAAATATGCCTATCCTAAACTTTCTGTAAATCTATTTTTATGTCAATACCTTCATGTTATGATACTTTTCTAGCCTTTTAAAAAAGTTGCAAAATTTTTTGGCCCACCCTGTATTATTTATTATTATTTATTTCTGTTGTATCTGAATGTAAATTTACATTTACCTTCTTTGAAAGTCTCTCTATTTTGTACACTGTCCCTCTGCCATCTTGTGCACACAGTACAGTCTTCATAAAAATGTGTACAAGATAAAAGAAAATGGGAAAAGTGTTCACAAAATGTTAATGTTCACTGGAGTAAAGTGTTCACGAAATAAAAGACTCATCACAAGGATGAGGTGTTCACTTAAGAACTGTTCTCACTTGATCAACGGTGTTCACAAGAGAGAGAGAAGTGTTCAAACAAGAGATATTGTTCACTAAAATGAAGTGTTCACAGTTCACAAATTTATTGTTCTATATTCTATATATAATTCTATATGCCATGTATATTTTGTTGTATCTGAGAAGTAACTGTTTTAATATGCAGTCCTACAGAATAATGTTTGAATAATTAGTAAAAAAACAAAAATTTTAGAGTACTTTTGGAAGAACTTCATGAATACCCTGTACATTTTAACATTTTCTTTCAGCAAACTTTTATTTTGTGAGTCTTTGATCTCTCATTCTCTGTTTCCTAGTGTTCATAAACTTAGAAACTTAGGAGTAATCTTGCCTTGAAAAGGATTACAATGGATACAGTTACTATAGTAAATAAAATAGATCAGTTGTGGAAGAAAATATTTTTGTGAGTTTTGTGACATTTGTTATGTATTCACGAAAGTTCATCTGCTTAACAGCACTAGTGTTGAAAAAGGATCCTGGTGACTTTGGAACTCAATTTATGATGCACCATATTGTGTATCAAATGCATTGTTTGTGCTATAACACTGATATGAACAAGTGGCGGGCCTAAATCCCGAAGTATATGAAAAGGTGTGCCTTGATTCAGACAGAAAGTACCCAAGATTTTTAATTGTTCATTGTCCTCGTGTATAATTCTTGTAAAATTATCATAATATGCGCCCAATTTACATGTTGTTTAATTTAAGGCATTGTTTATGGTTTGTATAGAGCTATGGGAGAATGTTTTGTCCCAGGTTCCCATTTTAATTAAGGAATATTTATGGCTTTGTTGTTGTTATTTTTATATTGAAGGGTGCACAAGGGTCACCTTATGTTGTATTTTATTTTCCATAGCAATGCTTATGTAACAGTAAAGGGGACCCTCTATAGGCGAGACTAGCAACTACTGTAGATCGGGGGGATACTGTCATGTAAATGATATGAGGTTTCTGGATGATAGGCCTTATATTCAAGAGAGGCAATAGGATATCGTTGATGTTGCTAATTATTATGTTACCACCAGAAGTGGTGACATATTGTTCTAGTAGTCTCCAACTTTTGGTGGATGTGTTTTGGCGTTGGACGGTTTGTGTCTATAACAAATTACAAGGTGGCAACATTTTGTCATGTTAG